CATATTGAGCAACAAAACATATCATTTATGATAAACTGGCTTCCCTGGGTTAAATGGTTGAACCCTTAACTTTGAATATTAGAGTAGTCATCGAATATACATGAACCTATTGCAGCCAGTTTTATAGTCAAAGGTGACACGGCCAAATGATCCTCTTATTGAGTATGTACAGTACTACATAATCGTTGACAGCTTTTAGCGAATTTCCCTATAGGGAAGTAGCTATTACCGTAGGTGGCATGGTAATACCTAGACCCGGGACCGATTTACTTTTTCATTTTGATGTCCCCAGAAGCCAAAAACACCATTCGTTCAAATTTTTATATATGTATATATATATATATAAATAAAGATTAAACATTAATAAACTTAGTACCCAAGTAAAATTATTTATTAAAATATTTACTGACTATAGTTTCGGCTCTAAGGCCATTTTCAAAGTAAACAAAAATCAAAATAAGATATGTAAATAAATAAATAACATATGATTTTATAAAACTTTTCTAACTTGTAACATAATTTTGTCTTCATTGATTAATTTATATACTATATGATGTGTTGTACTTATTTTCATTAATATTTTCTCTATTTTGCTATTGTTTCATATATTGGATTATTCAATTTTGGAATCATTGTATTTAAAATATTTGATTTATTATTTTTGTTGTTCATATAAATATTAATTTCTTCTTTTACATTAAATTTTTCTCTGTCTTTTTCAATTTCTAATATTGTTAAGTTTTCTTCGATCTTAGTAAACTTATGTTTGGATTTTAGTAAATGATCTGCAAAATTTGATTTCATTGATGTTTTGTTCTTCGATTTATATGCCTGTATATGTTCGTTGAATCTAACTTTAAAATTTCGATAGGTTTGTCCAATGTAGTATTTGTCACAGTCTTGGACAAACCTATAGAAATTTTAAAGTCAGTAAATATTTTAATAAATAATTTTACTTGGGTACTAAGTTTATTAATGTTTAATCTTTATTTATATATAGTAGCCCTATTTTTCTATTCTTCATATATATATATATATATACACGTCCGTGAACGCGATAACTTGAGTAATTTTTGTCCGATTTTGATTAAATTTGGTTTAAAGGTGTAAAGTGGGATAAACTTGAATGAGTTCGCGAACCAGCACGATCGGACCATGGGAACGGGGCTTTACGGGAGGTTTTATGGGGTGAAAATTGGTTTTTCTCACTTTTGACCCTCAAAACACAAAATTTCCCGATTTCTCTTTAGACCTTTTTAAAGAGCTTAAAAAAACAAATAATTTAGTATATACAAGTATTTTTGTTCGATTATTAGTAACGGAGAAAATATAAAAAAATTGTAAATTTAAAATTCCCATGTTATTCTTATGGAGAATATTGTCAAATGTTGTAGTTTGCTTGTTTATGGATATATTTTGATCAAACTTGGCAAAATTATTTATTTTGTACTAAGCTATCAATATTTGACTCAAAAACACACTTTATTAGTTTCCTTGTAGCAGCAAACCTAGGTACTCGTTAAACCTAATGTTATTAAAATATATTTAACTGAAAATCAATTCAGACAAATGGAAATTCGCTTAGTCGGCAGGTTTGCTACGGTGGGGGTATTATTTATTCTTTTGGCTTTGTACTATGATAGTTGATAGTAGTATAAAATTGGCCTTTCAGAGTTATACGATGATAAATTAAAAAAGGAAAATATACTACTCTAATACCAAGTTATCAAACCAAAAATATGAATCTATGAGAGTTAGGTTATGGATACAAAATTTCACAATTACAAATCAACACAAACACAACTATGATCTATGAGGAAACACAAATATGATCAATGATACATCGGACAATGCACGAAACATAGCGTGTCTGTTCCTTCAAAGATTACACATTCTTACGTTACCATAAACATTACATATCGATATTTATCATCATTTAACAACAGAAAACAAATGACTATCGTTCATTTTCACTTTACGTTGATAATACTGTATTATATTTAAGTAACCACAAGTTAAAGTGAATTAAACAAATTATTATTTTTTTGGTTGTGTTTTAACGCCAGTGCCATTTTTTACGTTTTGAAAGGGAACTGTCCTTATCCTGGTCTTGTTACTTTCTAACGTCGACCTTTTTGATAGATAGCATCATTAATTCATAGCCCAATGACAAATGGCATCTGGGTCTGGAAACGGTCTCGCTTGGATTTGAACCAGCGACCTTCATATTCGAAGGTGAGCACTATAACCATTCGGCTACCCATACAATTACCGATGGAGATAGAAACGCATCTTAGGAGCATTTTAACCCAAATATCAGTGAGGATAAGTGTATAATGAAATGATATGCCTTGTGTAGCTTTTTTGCTGACTAAGACCAACGTGTCTCAGGCACGAACCTGCGACCGTTTGATTGCTATGGTCAACACTAGAACCACTCAGCCACCCACCTATATTTAAACTTAAAATTGATATAACGATACCTTTCTTACAGTTTACCAGTCCAACTACTTATTACTGTTTAATTACTTTAATTTCAAGAAGCTATCACACAAAAGGTACTAAAATTAACCACTTGAATCATTGTATACGTGGCACAAAGTAATAGTGTTTGAATTTATATCACAAATATGCAATAACTAGCTTTTGGAAATCTGGACAGCAAAGGCCAGCAATGGTTGTAACAACTCCCTAAGTAAATGCCAATGAAGTATAAAGAAGAAAACAAAAAAGTAAAGATTGAAAGGGTAACAATCATCATAGTTTAACTTATGCTAATGAAATTCGTCCGGAAAACGATTACTCTTGAAATCTTTCGATTAAAATGATATACAATGACAGTTAGGCTGGCAAACTAAACAAACAACCAAACATAAAATATAAACGCATAGTATGGAATTGACTTGTTTACTCGGGGGGGGGGGGGGGGGACAGTAAACATTCAAATTTTCTTAAGCAAACTAAACAGAAAAGATACGATTTTAATACAATTGTAAGATTTTAAAGACTCGGTTCTGAAAATCCCCTTTTTTACAAGATCAAATTACAGTTTATTTTATTTAGTTTTTAAATTAAGAAGTAACAGTCAAATAATAAATACAAAATATTCAAATTTTAGGAAATATAAATAATATATGTATGCGTTCCCAAACGGAAATGAAGACGCAACCTCCTTCTGGCGTTATTGATTGTCATTACCTCATGAAAACTGTTTTCCCCCGAATGTAAAAAGTAAAATAATATTTCTGTTTAAATTGACGAATTGATTCTTGTTTCATTCTAAGTAACTTGAAGGTGGTTTGATGATTTTCTTAACAGCTTACTTTGGGGCTTCAATTTTCTTGTTATCTTTATAAACCTAAACTTTACTGTACTGGCTAAAAACTGTTTTAAGATTTTTCAAAATGAAGGTTTCTTGATTTATTTGGTTTCAAATACTAAACATCAGTGACTTTCAGCTATTGGGGCCAAGCAGTCCATCAGTGTAAAAATTACTTCATTTACTACAGCTATCTTCAAAATAACAAAATGAAATTACTTCAAATTAATAATAGTTACCACCCGAATAAGCAAGCTGTAACAAAGTTCAAGGAATGATATTAAGTTGTTTACACGAGAGTGGTTGTTATGGCCCTTACAAATTTTCATATCTGACGTGAATACAGAGTTATTATGTTTATGGCCAATGTTTGGGCTGGTACAATCCTTTAAAAGCGTATTTTAGGCTTCTGATTAAACTTTTGGATTTGGGTAGTTATACTACGTAAACCTGTACATAAAACATGTACCAATATAGATTTATCATTCTTGGAATGCCTAAGCTAACTTAAATATAAGCTGTCTGGTTCTAGCATCAAACATCTAAAGCTCAATATAGAAATTTTACTTAAATAGTTTTAGTCCTAAAAAATCTAAGGAGTATACTACTACTCAAAACAAAAAATTTAATTAAGGGAATTGAATATAGAAAGTAGGTTCTCCACCACCTTTGTCCTGTGAAACAATATTTGTTAAGTTATAGACTAGTTAGTTATAGACTGTATGTGTAAAAAATATATATGTCTTTTCAACATGTTTTATAGAAAAAAATTGTAGTGAACAATCACCTCGGATGGAAAAGTGGAAATATGTTAAAAATTCAAAACAATCATAACATAACAGCTTGTTTCGTTGCTAGAATATTAAATTTTGTGGTAGACAAAGTTAGATGAGTCCTTAAAATCTTATCCTATTTCAAACACCTCTGCTATGATAATGTGACACCAGCGACGCCTAATCCGTCCATGACAATGTCAGTAATGCAACGCTGTTATGTGAACATTGTAATTGCATTGCTGAGCCTCCGTGCAGGTTGTACCTTCATTACGCCCGGGATATAAATATTGACTGAGTTCATCCTTTAGAATTTTGCTATCTGTTTAAAAAAGCTTATACTTTAAGGATTTTATAGGTATGATCCGGGGTGCGTGCTATTTAGCGTAATAATTTGCCCTACAATAGAATTTAATGTGTGATTGCTTTTGTGTGGGAGCGCTCGCTGCTCGTATACGATTGGGAGAACCATCATTTTTGGTTTGCTTGATGGACAGATTTAGATATGCTCAGAATGAACGGTTTAGCACAGAATTATAACGTAGTTCAAGGCCATTAGTGAACAACGGGATTTGAACCCGGGGCCCATTGGATTGAAGTTCCGCGCTCTATCCAAAAGTCTAACTGATGGAACGAAGTCTAATGCGTTGTTAAGTAGTTTTGAATTAAAACGATATTTCTACAACAAAAACTATATTATTTAAACATGAAAGATTTTTGCAATTAACACTTTAAAGAGCCTATTTTACAGGTTAGTATAAAATCTACGTTACAGTATTGTTAAAATTATCAAAAAAGGTATTTACATCAATGTAAATGAATATAAATATCAGTTCCTTATTTTACCTTTTTATTATGTTTAATTTTGTACTACTGTATGACTGAAAAATATAATAAACAATACTCACAATATGTGTCTGACATAAGGCGGTCGATGGTTTCTTGCTTCAGTTTGGAATTCCGCTTCCCCATGATGACTACCTCCGGTCCATAACACTGTGGACAGCATTAGAAAACATTAATTAAAACATATACAGTAGTATTCTTTAATTTGGGTGTTCATGTAATATATTGAATAACTATATCGCAATATTACATTATATGCAATATTATATTAGTGGCCTAATCAAACATTTACTAAACAAGTGCAACCACAATGAGGTAAAATGATTTTTTTATAATTAGACTTAATGTTGGACCTGTTTATTAAGGCTAAAATAAAACATAGCTTGACTATAAATTATTTACTGTTGGTTTGTGTGGTGAAATTTAAACAGATGCATTTATGAACAACTTTAGAAGGAACAACCACACAATTGTTTGGGCACTCCCTTCCTAGATGTGGTACTTATAGACTACTATTACAGATTGGAAAGAAGATCTTTAGCTCTATTAGAGATATACCTATATATACTCAAGATAAACCTAACTGCCACATAAAATTACTTGGATGTTAAAATACAAACTTATTCTTCACGAACTACGCAATACAGTCGTTTAACAACTATCACGTGACAAACCGGTATCAAAAAGCCTTCTGCTTTGGTTAAACTCGTTCAACCTGAACTGTATTCATACATTGTTAAGCAAGTTCCTTAAAATAAATACAAAAGCACATTTTAATGACACGAGTTGAAGTACTCCAGTAACGAATGTGTTGTCTACGTCACTACTCGTTGTTTCCATTGTTGTTTTAACGTTTTGTTTCCCCTTTCTAACCTTTCTTTCAGTTTTTTTTATAAAAATAAATATTACAGGCTTTTGCATGAGTTTAAAATATTCAGGAGGAAGCTATTTGAATTGTCAATTTTTAACCACAATTCGCTTATTGGTTATTATTACTTCGTCAAAGAATCAACGAAACACTGTCAAAACACTTTCATAGAGAAAATTTACTTTGGTAGGCACTTTCGACTGATTTTTTAAAACACCCACGTTTTTTGGACACATAGTAAAGCTGTTTAAATATAGTTAAAAAAGCGGATATCTAAGGTATTTTTACTTTAATTTCGTGTATTAATTAATTAATTTTTGTGTTTTGTGTGATTTCTACGACAATGGCATTTTTTAAGTTTTAAGAGGGAATGGTCCAAACTCTGGTTTTTTTACTATCTCAACGACGATCTTTTTGTTAGATAGGATAAGTAATGACTTCATAGCCCTATGACAAATTGTATCTGGGTCTGGAAACGATAATGCTTGGAATTGAGCCAGCGACCTCTAGGTATATATTTGAAGGCGAATACCACTCGGCTATCCAGACAATTTCCTATTCCATTGCCGCTTTCCTACGTATTTTGAAGAGAAGAGACCAAACATTGGTCATGATACTATATAATGTAAACTCTTTGTCGGATAACATTATTAATTACATAGCATTATAACATCGTCCAATGGTAAATAGCATCTAGGCCCACAATTTATAATGCTTGGCATAGAACTAGTGACATTTTAGATTTAAAAGTGACCTTTCTTCGTTATAAGTATTTTATAAAATATTAAATTGTTTAACAGGATTGTGTGTTTTATTGCAAAGTTTTGTGTGCGAAGCAGAGCACGTACAAATTAGTTCGATTTCAAAGAACTGCAGTTCCTTTATTGGAGATTCTTTCACCGCTGAGCCAAGTATTGAACGACCTAAGATCTGTAATGACAGGGAGGGAGTCTCAAGACCTACAATCAGCTGTTCACCCCCTAGCCTACCTAACCTAACATCTAACCTTTACCCTCCCACAAAGCTGTGTTGTCTCCTTTCATAAAGTGTGGCGGTTTTCTTCAATTATCGGGATCGTGTATTGAAAATGTTTTATACAAATTTAATTTCACCTTTCTGATTCAATACCTTTCTATTAAAGCTATTGAATTTGAAAGTATGAGGCATCAGGTTTCTTCTAAAACAACCTGTACTTTGAATTGAACTTAAAAACCGTAGACAGTAATTTATTTATTTTCATTCCATCTCTAGAAACAGATATTTTATATCGAACAATCTAACATCATTTATGCCCATTTATAATTTGAGTATAATACAACAACAACTAAAATACTGGAACAATTAAAATTACTAAGAAACTATCGAATTTAGAGTCGTGCAATATAGATGAGAAGCAAATGAATGCTTGTTTTAGATGTTTCAATTGTGTGCATTGGGAAGTTTTGCTGAACGCAATATTGTGGAACAACCAAGCCACATTTCTATAACAAACATTTCTGTACGTGACTGAATCTACATAATGAGAGACGCTATTGTGGCAGGACTATCCTCAAAGCGACTGTTAATGTAAACACCCAGTATTATCTGCCAAACACCTTCTACACTATTTCATCATTTACAACACTGTACCTCTTGTTAAATGCAAGATTATTGGAATATTTTTTATATATCAACATAAATTCGGCATTTGTTAAGTTGTTTAAATAATTTGGAGGCCCTGGTAACTTTAATTTTATCATCCAAAGTCAAGATGGTGTTAGAAAGCAAGGCATTTGTTAGGGGAGTCGATAATTGAGCGGAGCGAGCGAAGCTCTTTAAGAACGGGACTTATGCAAACTATGTAATCAATTAACTAAATAATGGCTTAACATATTACAACCATACTTACTAGGGTTATTTAGACAAACAGTGAACATGTTATTAAATAAAAAAAAAATCTATTTAATAATGCTTGTATGAATTAAAACTAATCTAAAATTTTTAACATTGGCCTTATGAGTTGCTATGAAGCTGTTTTGCCATTGGCAGAAAATGGTTACTGTACTGGATTTCAAAAATGATCCATGTTCGAAATTTTAGAGTGTGCTGATGTCAACTAAATGTTTCATGGACGTAACAAAATAATATTGATCCATACACATTGGAATTGAAACAAACAATTTTAACCAGCGAACACAGAATGATAACTTAATTTAATATTATAGAACGGGCATTAAAATTAAACAAGCGATACAAAACGTTGTCGTCAATCCTTAGGTTTGTCATAGAATCGATGCAAGAATGATTTAAGGCCTCAGAATCGGCAGAAATTAGAAGTTTACTATTTAGTCAAGACGTTATAAATTTATATACTATTATCAAAAAGTTAATGACATGACTAATTTGGTTGACTAATATTAAAAAGCGACCAGGAGATATCCCTCTGAAATAGACAAGTGGTAAATACTATATTTTTCCTCAGCTTAATAGTTATTGGTCCAAAATGATTTTAAAACTTAGATATATTATGACAAATATGTCTGGGTAGCCGATTGGTTATAGTGCACCCCTTTAAACCGGAGGTAACAATCCAACGACGAGGTAGATTTCGAACCAAGATAAACTTTGTGATTGGTCTATCAATTAACGATGTCATTCAAGAAAGAGTTGACGTGTGAGTAAACTAGATCAGAGTTTAGTACGTTCCCTTACAAATAACATAAAGTAAAATATCTATATTATAGAAAATATAAACAAAATATCTATATCTACAAATATCTATATTATTAAAAGAATTTGTTGGATTTTTGTATGCAGCAAATCGAGCCCTAAATACTTATTTTTATAGTCATATTGGGTATTAATTAGCTTTTATCCTCTAGATGTGCCTTTTGCGGGTTTGGATGATATCTCGTTTATGAATAATTGAACGTTGTAGAACACGTAAAAAGACATTGTAAAGACGTAAAGACATGTTGGACATTGTTAATAGTAAGTATGAAAAAACAAACCTCATTAATAACAAAAATGTAGTAAAATCGTCTTTATTACTGTTATGATTTTAAAATTTATAGAATCAAATGTACAGTATTTTAAATGACCAAAATATGTTTAGCCTATTTTCTCTCTATATTGTTTCCCACAAAGATAGTGAGCAAAATATAGAGTTTAAATGCTTAACACTGTTTATTTTTCAAAAGGCTACTCCAAAAGGTGCTTAATTGAGGTGTACTGTATGGATTAATGTATGGAGGTGGGGTTCCATAAATTGAAATGAAACTCTCTTTATTGTTCTCTTTACATAATATTACAGAATATTCACGATATACTAACTATATTACATGTTTCAAATTCAATTTTTGATTCGGTTTGTAAACTTATATAAAAGAAACACACTGTTACACTTTGGAACAATGAAGTCTGCATCCCGAGGTCAAAACCTGTGTGGGATGATTACCACTGAATTGCACAAAATACACTCAAGCTAGAAGGACTGTGACCGACACACTGGTATACAATATTCGTTTGTACATGATAATTGTATTTGATAATTAACTTAAATTGCCCATCGAACTAATGCAGTATGCTCTACTGTGACAAAATAGGTATGCTAATTTACTTGGTGACATGTTACACACGAATGGAAATCGTCCAGATGTTTATTAGCTATTTACTGTGGGTTCGAATATACACAGATTTATTTATGTAACAATGAGAGATTCTCGTATCTTAAAATTGTTTTAAATAATCTCAAAATAATCTAAATGCCGTATTACAACACAAATTTTCCAGCTCGTATGTTATCATAAACGTTGCTAATGCTTTCAACCTATAACATTTAGAATGGTTTACATTGCGGGTTTTGGAATCATGCAGTTTCAATTTAGAAATTTGTATAAGAATTTAATGAAAAATAAAAACACACCAGATAGCTGTGAGTGATTTGTTCTAAACATTATTATCACAAGAGGAGGGTCTAAAAAAGGGTGTATTCGTTAGAAAGCAGTTTTACCACAGTTTTACATCTTAAGGACAAAATAAGCTCTTATTCATAATTGCAAGGGTTGGCGAGAGACGTGAAGATTTCCATGTTTAATAAAACCAGAGCTGGGCGGTTGGTATCCCTAGGGTAGGGATTTGCATAAAAACCAACTTGTTAACGTGGTTTATCAGACATTTCATCATCACTTTTTGAATTTCGCCGAACGAATTTTACTTTATGTTGCAATTTTAAAATCTTTAAATTTGTTTTGTAGCACTTTTCGTAATTCAATTTCATTTTATTTTACGTTTTTATAAACTAATACGTACAAGCCAGTTAAAACCACTATTTCTTACCCTTTTCCTTTTTGAAATTAAAATACATATACCGGGGGAAACGTAAACTTTTGTTTAAACCCCGAACATATTACCCGAATTAGAAAAAAACCCAAACTACATATAAAGTAATATAAGCAATCATTTGCTTCAGAGCTTAAAGACTTGATTTGAGTATTATGCATTCCATTTTATTACAATTATTTACGATTAATACATTTAAAGTCATTGTATTTTTAAGCATGATTAGGTTACTATTTTTCTCTCCTATGTACTTTTCTTATAAAACATTGATAAAATTATACAAATTGTTAATATAATTTGGAATACTGAGGATAAATTTTGGGGTTTTCTTCTAAGATATACATAAAGGTTTTCACTTTAAACATAATTCATAGATTAATAGTTTTCTTAAAATCACGGTAAACAACAAACTATAAACCTATAGAGTGGCTCTGAGTGTGTAAAAAGATGAATTCCCCCATTAATTTTACCGTACTTATATAAACCTGTTTTTAATTTCTTCAGTTACAAAATACAGTACCCACAAAATAAAAATAACAAATACTGACTAATACCTCAAATACAAAATTTACGATGATTAACGAAGAGTATTTACCTTATGGTTAGTGTTAATTTAAAATTCTCTTTGTGTATGATAAATTCTTATCCATGTTTCATTCCATGTAATCCAGTGATGTAGTTGCAATTAATTAAAAGCTAGACTGATGAAACGTAGCCTACTAAAGTATGCACGTATTGAACGCTCTTAACACCTGCAACCAGAACCACACGCTTCACGATACAGGAGCTAAACGAGGGATTATCGTTAATTAATGTTTCCCAATCATGTTCATGGTTTATATTCCAGAGCCTCAATTTAGAGGTAATATAATACTTATAAGCAATTAAGCCCAATTTGAATCGGTTTACAATGTTCGAGTTATCATGGAAATAATAATACAGTAATTACTATAGTGAGTTATTTATTGCTGAAAACTGATTATTTGGAATTCATAGAAACAAATGCTACATTTGCTGTAGTTCAGATTATAAATCACGTTTTTAGCAGAGTGATTCTTAAACCATCAAGGTCACCGGTTCGATCACAGCCACCTCTAATACATTAGAGTATTAGAGGTGTATTATATTATATTATATATGTATTATGTATATTATATATGTATTAGAGGTGGCTGTGGTTCGATCCTACACGTGTTTCTGATGGTGCAAACCAGACACAGCTGTCCTTTATCATTTGGCTTTAACAGCTGATACTAGACAGCATCGAAGCTTCATAGATTACCTTCTCCGTTATAATCTCAAACTGCATTTGTATAACGGTTATATTGTGTATTGGGTCAATTGCTAGGGATAAAAAAGCAACCATTTTGAATTTGATGTCTCCTACATCAGCTAAATAGACAATTTGTATTCCGATAGAATAATGCAAGTAAAATAATATTTTCTTGGCATGTATTGAGAGTGTAGTGCAATAAATATTTCATTTGTAAGCTTAAGGTGTCCTGCTAACATGTGATCTACATAATCCTGAAGTTTATTATACACAGTGCAATAAAAAATTAGGAAATTACAGAATTAACCGTAAACCTATGTACTTTAAAAAAGTAAATTCATTATTTTTTTACCGGAAACATTGTAAAATATTTTAAACTTATAACGACTCTACAGTTTATCTGGGTAGACTATATGAGTTTTGGTTTGGACCTTGAATACATTGTAATTTTACCAGCCATTTAAACAATCCATTTGATCGACAAATATTTTGAAACAAATTTATACTTTTATACCACTTTAGGCATACGGTAAATAAAATATTTAAAAAGGCACAGCAACCGTTTCGCAAAACGTCAAATATAAAAGCGCGGGCTTTGTCAGTTCAAGTTGAGCCGATTAGCAGCCACGTTTGAGAGTGTTATCGAGTGTTCATTCTATTTCTCTTTTGCCATTACGAAGAGCCTGAAACATTTTTCGCCATAAAGCCATAAAGCATAATACGCTCTTTTCATACGCACATTATTAAATTAGACTATATTAGATGGTATTAGTTGTGAAAAAGTCATTGATTGATAGACCAGCACCCTGTGTACTACAGAGACAACTTATATTTTTGTTCAATGAACGATTGTGGAATATTTAAGGTTCGATAAGTGAACCATTTGATAATTCGTTGCAATAAAATTATTTATATTGAAGTGTTTAAAATCAACCGCGATTCATTCTTATAGAGTCATAGACATTTTTATTAAATAACGTTATTGAGAAAATTTTTATTTAGAGAAATTCTTGATTTAATTTAAAGTCTTATACGTTTTTGATACGTATTTTGGTCAATACTTATCGACAAATGGATATTAAAACATAACGCCTTAAAAGATCCGGGTTTTAACAAAGAGTTTTACTAATAATCTCCGTAACTAGACTTTTATGGGAAAAATCGAACTTGAAGCAAAATAACATTTCGTATTGTAAACATCTTCTGCTCAAAGACTGTAACCACCGTAAAATAAATTGAAGTTATGAAATGAATTTAACAATTTAAATACAGCTCTTATTGAAATATTGATAAAACATTATTACATTAATTGCAAAATAAAATAATATTGTTATCAAAATCGGATGAAATAAAGTTTTTTGGTACTTTCCTGTTAAAGGGAACATTCATTATTATCGATGATTTTTCTCTCGATATATCGATATTAACAAATTGAAACATATCAGCTGACAACTACGCGATAAATATTGTTCAGTATCAACAAACAATAATGAAATGAAACTGTTCTAAAAAAAAATAACCTAACATAACTAACCAAACTTGCTATAACGTTTAAAAATTCTGTGTTTAACTTGTCTTTCCTATTATCAAACCCAAACGGAATTTTTAAATGGTCCAGCAAGTTTGGTTGGTTATGTTAGGTTAGCTTAGACTATTTTAGCCTAAACAAGATCAGTTAGTTGTTGTCAATTTGTAATGGATCGGAAGATAAAAATATCGATATATCGAAAAAAATCATCGATGATAATGAATGTTCCCTTTAACAGGAAAGTACCGTTTTTTTCAATGTTTACTGCTTTGTGTGATTAATCAATTCATCTCAAACCAATTAATTTTAAACTTGTTTTGCAATTAATTGTCAATTTGTCCTGCTCAGTTCTAATATTCAAAATGTTCAAAACAATTTTGGCACCAGTTTCGTTGCATGAGACTGCATAAATTACATATAGTATAACTAATATAGCAAACAATATGCTAATCAAATATAGCTAAAGTTATTAATCATAATTATCTGAGGCACGTTTCATGCATTGTAATTGAAAATACTTAAAAATACAAATAATGACACTTACATTTGAAGCTTTTTATGAAGTAAATTGTCAGTTAAACCACTTCGAGTGATTGATTAGAATACTGTAATATATAAACTAAGTTAAAACATCTAAAAATAATATTTCGATAAATTTGGTTGTATTTGGTTGTATTGGGTAATTTGGTTAATGCTTATGGCAATTTTGCTACAACAGTATTAATATAAATCAAAACTGTGTTTTTTCTTAGCAATTCTTATATCCTGGATAGTTGGATATTGTTTATTGCACCATTCATAAACTATACAATCTTAGTGTTGCTTAGTCTATGATTGTACTATAAAGAGAAGTAACAAGTATACGGTTTGATCACAAGGATAGATAAATTAAAACACAAACAAGAAATTGTATTTTCAATACATCAATATATTCTGTATCTAAACTTGTTCACTTGAACTATTTTCTAGTTTAAAAACATAGATTAAGCATTCTCGTTTATTCCATTGTTGTAGGGCCCACTAGTTTAGTGTTCACTAAAACTTTAGCAAGAAAACAATAAAATCACACAAACTCTGTCATTCATCTTGCAGTTTAACCTCTCTCATATAGATTTTAGTTTTATAAAAACACTACTAAAATTTACTTACCAGAAGATTTACATGAATAAAAAACCTGAAACAAAAAACAATCAAAATATAACAAAAAATTTTACGTGCATAAAAATAAAAATACAATAAGTTTCTAATATTCAATTGTAAATTATGTTTTCGGCAAACAACATTGTTCGTGATATATGTTAAAAAATATGCCAGCCAAACAATACAATTCACTGTGGGTCATGAAATAATGTAACTCTGTTGTAAATTTTACAGTTTTCAAGTTAAGGTCTGTAAATGTTAAAACACTAGGCTTACTGCCTTGTTAGTCGCCTGTTGACACGAAAAGTTCAGGGTGTTGCCCACTTGTGTATTATTACCAAAGTGTTCTAGTTAGATAACTCATCGCTGTAATTGGCTTACACTGCCACTAGGGTGCGTTTCTTTTGCGGTTGGCATGTGTGCATATACAGGGTGAGGCAATGAGAACGCTACAATTTGTTTTACCTGTCACATGTTAATTGTTGCAACAATGAATGATCAGCTGTGCTTAAAACATCAATTAAACTATGCCATTTTAGTAAATATTATGCCTGAGGCTATTAACACTGAGATTTTGATGTGGAAACCTATTTATAAAATAGTGGTTCTTGAGCAAAAACTCAGAGATGGTTTGGACCGTATTCCATCCTTGGTCAACATTGCGCTGTTCCAGATTGGAAAACAATGTTGAACTGGGTAAAATTATTTAGGATAATCGCTTAAACAAAAAAAAAATAATCGGTGGGTGCCGCTAAACTCTTTGTACACCAGCAAATGTTAAAAGAATATGAGTCCCAGTAACTCAAAGTCCGAAGAGATTTGCCAGGAAGCTTTTGTTGTTGAAAGCTTTACGTTGGCTATTTTTTTGGGAGGGGGGGGTTGTTCTAATAAGCTACTTGACGTTCTAGGTTTTTCAAAGTCACCCCACGGATTTGCTTGAAACGAAGCTAAGGATGGTCCAAAAACTAAAGTGATTCCTGAAGAAGTGCTGGAGGAGTATTTGATGGTGTTTCAAGTGGCTAAAAAGGAATGTTAAGTAGGACAATGAGTCACTTGTAGGATTTTGTTCTCAAGAAATGGAAAAATGACTTTGTTAAGTTAAAATGGCAAAAGATAAGCTGTGTTTTGGTGTGCTATTTATATCCATAGGGTGAATATTATTGAGTTTGTACTGTTTATAAATTGGGGTGCTTTCATTGCCCCACCCTGTATGTGCTTGGCTAGACTCCTCTATTATGAATGATTGAAGGTGTGATATTGCACTAAATAGTGGCTATAGTAAATTATAAAACACTGGATAAACTTGATAATTTTAGGAGAGAAAAGATTAACGAATGCGGAGTTTGATATAAAGGAGGAGCAGTTAAGGAGTGTGTAGAGAGCTTCTAAAGTATTTCTTGTTTTTTTCAGTATTCTACTCTTTTTATTGTAGCCATGTCATAAATTGCTCCAGGAAAAGTCTGTTATACGGCTTTTACAAACATATTACGTGCAGATTAGGTAGAATAGAATTTTCTTATAATACCTATGATATTATGATTAAAGAATATGACAAAACTAAAATATTTTAAGGATAAACAAATTACCATAAAACATATAATATATGTTTTGTTTTTTTATTATAATTGTTTACCCCGGTAGTCCCAAGGAAGACAGTTGCGTGGCATGAAAATTCAATAAAGTCAATCGCTAAGTCATCTGTTCAATCAAAATAATCAAAGTTCGATCATTAATTATTTTATACTTGCCTTATTTTTCAAATAGCCATAAGCTATGAATTGAAACAAAACATAGTATTGTTATCATGTTTTGCTATGCACAAGAAACAAAACTGCTTGGTAAAATTAAATCCATCTTTTGATAGAAATTATTATGTTTTATTAATAAATACTGAGCAGAGGTACGTGCAGTGAAATATCATAGAGGAAACAACCAGGATTCATTTGCATTCAGTCCGTTGATATTATCCTGGAAGGTTGTTTTATACAACAAAAAATGAAAATATTTGTCAATATTACTTGACCTAATTTTAAATATTATTTTAGATATTGGAAGATAAAAAGTTTACTAAATTTGCTTCAAAGTGTGATACAAATAGTTTTTGTAGAAGTAATTTTCATTTAGTAGGGATTTAAAAGTACTCTACTGAAGAGGTGGCTCAAATACTTTATCGATCACTGACTTAACATTCAGTGGCGACTAAGCTCAGTCTTAACTGTTATAGCCTGTTCTACATCAGGTGGATAACGATTTATTAACTTGACAAAGTGTATATATCAGTAGTTTATTATTAATAAACAATGTGTACGAAATCATCTTGAATGATTGAAACATTTGGAATGTATGTTCATATAAGTATGTATATCAACATAAATAGCTCATACATGTATGCATGTTGCTGGATTGAAAATTAGGGACGCCTATTCAATTGAAAAATATTCTAATATCTGTCTTTAATGAGGACAGAGCTTATATAACACGTTTGATTGAAAAAGTCCGAGTTTTCAGGGAAATATTTTGATTTACAAACGGTGTAGGCTAACTATTATTTTGCTTTCAAGACAAATGTTTTTGCCTTCTGACAAATTTTAATTTGAATCAGTGTTTTACTAGATAGTCAGTAGGTACGATGGTCCATGAAACCCAAGCAGCAATGTCGTGATCGCGTTCTGGGAAATCTGGACTTTTTATTAGTACCTATTTTGTTAATATAAACAGTAAGCACTGTAATGACTCACTCTTTGCTACGTTTCACATACAGACGTTTAATCTAAGGTCATTTATTATCTAAAAAATATCTTTTATCTAAAAAACTATCTCTTTTAGATAATTTCTTCGCTCTTATACAATATTAGAGTTTTTCTCCTAATATTCTTTTACTCAAAATGGCTAAGTATATTCCATAGTTTAAAGAAAAAAATATTAGGAGGTATGTGTAACATTACAAAGTTATAATTAGTTGTACTAGACAACGTTTGCTAGGAGATTTCGAGGAAATTTAGTAGAACAATGCCAGTTGAAACTTGATGGAATGTTTGTAGTATCAAGTAAGAGAAGAAACGCTTTCTGAAAGCGTTGGGATGATATAAATCCACCTGTCTACGAACACATTCCTCTTCACCGACTGACAGCGGTTAAACCTTTACTGTGTGGGCAACATTCGTGGAACGCTTTCCTTGTTTTAGTTAAATTAACCTCTTTGAATAATATTTGGACTTGATAAAACAATAGTTGTAGGTATACAAATACTGTTTTCTTTTATCATTTTTAAGTATGACACAATTAGTTCAGGTAAGATTTATAAAAAAATCACAAATTATTCCATTGGAGTACGAATTATATGGTCTTACTTTTGAGCTTAGGCTACTAGGTAAATGTTTGATTCACTGTTGGTTAGAGAGTTTTTGTTGCAAGGTAACTATTTTGGTGCAACAAACAACAATATAAACTAGTGCACCTGTTGCTCGAATTCGAGCAATTGCAAAGTATTACTGGCGTTTTTTCAAAACGAAATACAGTCATAATTTCCGATAACTTAAAAGTCAACTCAAAGATAACGCAATCAATCACTCCACTCCAGTTAACGAAACTGAAAACGTACGCTCTTGTGTGTACATGTGTTTACTATGAACAGCTGTAATTAATACAAATTATTCGTCCGTTCAAGTAAACAAAATCTTTTATCCATAAGAAATGCATTGGGATTTTGATGGCCTGTGGGGCAAAGCCCGAGGACTTTCTTTATTACAGGAGTTGGTGAAAGGGAGCATCTACACAAACAATACTTCATTTTGACACATCGTTTGTAAAAATCCGTCCATTATTAACGGAGGAGTAATGTTTCGTATAAATCGCCTTCACGTACTATATATAAGGATACATTTGCAATTGAATATTTATAGTGAATTCAATACCTCGACATATGAGTTTTAAAACTTTATATAAAAATGGATAACATTATGGAAAAATACAGTGTGTTTCCTTATTACAAGTTGTGTCTAGACAAAGAAAACAAACCACTAAAAAGTCGATCGACAAATTCTTGGAGCCGAGCCATGTTTGGGCCGCTTTCAGCTATCAGCTTTCTCATGTTCCACATCTATGTTGCTTTCTATGTTTTTAAATTAGATTTTTAAACTAAATTTCCATTTAGATTTAAATTTAAGAAATATACAATCATTCTTGTCTTATCTTTAAATAAATCTATTGATGATTCAACTTTTTTGGGGCATTTACTGTATAGTACTGGTTTATAGGGTGCCATTTTTATGTGCGAACATAGGCTTTTGAATGTTGTACGGCCAAAAAGTATGAACAAATTCAGAACAAATAATAAGCGGTTATTATTAGTAGGGGACCTTTTTTTATAATGGACCTTATTTTATAATAGTTTCCTACAATATATTCCACTGCAGTTCAGAATGGTCTATAAATATGTGTTAGCCGTGGCAGAGGCTGTAAATATGTAGTGGATGGACGTGTTTTACAGGTGGTTCAACGCTAGTGATGTTTTAGAGTGCATTAATACATCGGTTCTTATTGTTATAGACTCCTCTACCTCTACACTGATGCCTAGATCTCGTAGGTTTCATGAAGCATAATGGATATTCAAAGAAACACACAGAATCACTTTTCTATAAGGAAAAGTGATAGAGTTATCTAATAGGAATAAATTAACAGTTAAATTTAAAGATATAGTAAAGGATCAGTATAACTTGCTTATTTCAAATCTGCAAGCAATAACTATTTTATGAGGGTTCGAACACTGTAGTAACTCTACTTATGATCCAATGAAGCTCAGAACAGCCTATAAAGAGGTGTTAACCATCACAGCTGTAGGCTGTTAAGATTTAGAGGGCGATCAGCGTAACAGGATGGAAATAAGCTTCAGTACTAAAGCAAATGTTGCAGTATATCCGTCTAAGTAATGGTGGATTCTTTCTCTTTCCATACTTATTTTACAGAATTCATAGCCATTTTAGTTCAAAATGCAGAATGAAATCCTTGCACAGTTTGAAATTCGTGTTTAAACTG